TTGCATGTCTGGAAAGGCACCATTAATGCAGAGAACTATGTTCAGGTTCTAGAACAACATATGCTCCCATCTAGACGTCATCTCTTTCAGGGAAGACCCTGCATTTTTCAACACGATAATGCCAGACCACATTCTGCAGCAATCACAACATCATGGCTACGTAGGAGAAGGATCCGGGTACTGAAATGGCCAGCCTGCAGTCCAGATCTTTCACCTATAGAGAACATTTGGTGCATCATAAAGAGGAAGGTGCGACAAAGAAGGCACAAGACGATTGAACAGTTAGAGGCCTGTATTAGACATGAATGGGAGAGCATTCCTATTTCTAAACTGGAGAAACTGGTCTCCTCTGTCCCCAGACGTCTGTTGAGTGTTGGAAGAAGAAGGGGGGATGCCACACAGTGGTAAAAATGGACTTGTCCCAACTTTTTTGGGATTTGTTGACGCCATGAAATTTGGAAACAACAGATTTTTCCCCTAAAATGAATCATTCTCTCAGTTTAAACTTTTGATCTGTGATTTGTGTTCTATTCTGAATAAAATATTAGATGTTGGCACCTCCACATCATTGCATTCAGTTTTTATTCACTATTTGTTTAGTGTCCCAACTTTTTTGGAATCTGGTTAGTACATGTTCTCGTTGTATCTCGGTGCAATGATAATAAAGCTTATTCTGATTCTGATTGTATGTTCCCATGCAATGACAAAATCGATTTTCTGCATTTAACCCATCACACCTGGGATACACCCAGGTGGAACAGTGGGCAACTATTGAGTGCCCGGGAAGCAATTGAGGATTGGGTATCTTGCTCAGAGACATCATGATATGTGGGAATGGCTGGGAGCTGAATTGTGACCTTCTGGTCCCAGATCGGCTGCCCTTCCTCTACTTTCATCTCGGTCCCCAGGTGGTAGAGCTGCTGCCTCTCAGAAGGTCGCTGGATCAAATCCCGACCCCGGGGGGGGGGGGGGGTGTCATTGTAGGTGGAGTTTGCATGTTCTCTCCGTGCATGTGTGGGTTTTCTCTGGGTACTCTGGTGTCCTCCCACAGACCAAAAACATGCATGTTAGACTGATTGGTAACTCTAAATTGTCTCTAGGAGAGAGAGAGTGAATGGTTGTTTGTCTCGTCTGTCTCTATGTGTCCCTGTGATGGACTGGAGACCTGTCCAGGGTGTCCCGTCTCACACAGTGACTGCTGGATATGAGCACCAGTGACATTGTGATCCAACAAGGAAGAAGCGGGTGAAGATAATGAATACATGGATGGATGTCCTCCTTGTGATCCTGTTCTTTAAGTTTTGAAACAAGTTTACAAATATCACCCTGTTGAATGAAATAAAGTTATATAAAGACAAAAATACAATTTTAGTGTCAAGCTTAAGTAGTTTTATATAATCAAATTTAAACAAGTGAGCATTCACATTATGAGGGTTGCTATGTTGAAAAATTCTCATTTATAGACTTGTTGCCACTAATAGTACTTTGAAAATAAAAACTGTATGTTTGGCAATAATTTACAAACTAGACCAACTCAAAATAATTAATGCAAAAACCCTAATTAATTATTTCATGTTTGATCATTTCTTGAATCACATTTATTACAGTTACTTCACAGTCTGATTCCAAATAGTTTTGTTGTGTACATACAGCCAGAACCTTGTACTTTACCGCAGTAACCTTGTTAACTAAACTGTAATCCTGTGTAGATTTGAATCGTGATTTTTATAATCAACTACAAAACACTTGAAACGGAGAGCGAGGCCAACAGATAAACATTAAGCAGAGACATAATGTTGCTGCAACCTTAGGGTCTTTTTGTTACCACCAGAGCCCTGTAAAGAGAGAGTTGCGACACTCTTTTGAACTCGCCGATACGCGGTCACGTGGTTCATGCAGCTCTCAATAGTTCCAAACAGTTCATCGCTGTCAGTCAGTTTGAGCGGCTGCTGGCGCAACATAACACATAAATCAATTTTTTTTACTTTACCTGGTGTCTTTCAGTAATTATTGAGCAGTAACGAACTGATTACTTAACTGATTACTGATTATTTCACTGACTATGCATTTTATCAAAGCATTTTTAGTTGTGTCTGATACATTTATCATTAAATTTTAGAAGGAAACGAGACTGCAAACACATATTTGTTAGAAAAAATAATGTATATGCAATACAATGATCAATATAGCCATATCAGTGTTTTATAACGTTACACACGTTAAAAAAAGATCAGAGTAACTCCTGTTATAAAGCTGTTTCTGATGTTCTCTGCATGAGAATGCTCCACCTTGTCCTCCAAGCAGCAGTTCAGATCTGCTCCAGCTTACCTCAGATCATCTGGATGAATTCTTGATTTCTATAGAAGATATTAATTCAACCTTTATTTAAACAGGTTCGTCCCATTGAGCCACGAGGACTCATTTACAAGAGAGACTGAATATAATTGTTGTATTTGTCGTTTTTTTATGGCAACCAAGTACCTGATAACTGAGTTGATTGTAGCCTGACAACTATTGTAAAACTGTAATTCATTGATTAAAATGTTAATTTAAATGAAACTGTTTCTAGTTAAAATCACAACAGATGACAAAATAAGTGTTAACTGTGCAAAAATACATTTCCAAACAATTATAAAATATGTAAAATGTAAAGCAAGCTTTATTAAAGTACTTTTACTATTACTTTTACTATTTATACTGCTTATTAATGACATCATCTCAAGTCAGCACCATCATCATCATCATCATCATCATCATCACAACAACACAAAGTGAGAGCTGTAAATTTAATCTGCACAAACATTTTCAATCAGGGCTCAAAATGTTGAACTGTCAAAGAAACGTGCAAGAAAATAAACTGATGTCACTCTACAGACACATTTAGAGAGAGGACAGTTTACAGAGACACAGTGAGGACGTGTGAGACTGAAGGAGGTTCAACCATTTGTTCTTGGACCAGAACCAGATGAGAAGAACAGCAGAACTTCCACTGACCAGTGACCTGACCAGTGACCTAACCAGTGATCACACATGTTGTTCTAAATTAAACTTTGGTATGAACAGTGTTAAATAATTCATGTCATATTTTTATTGAACAATAATCTTCATTCTAACAGTGACGTTGTAATTTCAGAGACTGAGGAAGAAACAGAAATGAGGCGAGTGAGATGAGGGAAAGATGAAAATGTGTCCTCAGAGGACGGGGACATGTCAGGATCTGATGATCCAGGATCAACAGAACCAGGAGGATGGATCAACAGGACCAGGAGGATGGATCAACAGGACCAGGAGGATGAATCAACAGGACCAGGAGGATGGATCAACAGGACCAGGAGGATGGATCAACAGGACCAGGAGGATGGATCAACAGGCAGTCAGGGAACAGAGATGAAAAACCTGAGGGAACAATTAGAACACAAAAAAAATACATAAGCAGGACAGAAGAAACTCACAGACAAGAACATTAACTCTGTCCTGCCAAGAAAAATGTTAATGGAAAATAAATTGACATATTTTTACAAAAGATCAGATGAAGTCAACTTGCATGAAGAAGAACTTCCAGCTCCATCTCAATGTACCTGTGATAGTTTAATAAGTGTTTTGTTACTGTTCTATAGTTTATTGATGCTGATATATTCTTGTAATAATTCTTATTTCTTGTTCTGTCTTGAAAGAGTCTCATCTCAACTTGACCCATGATTACCAAACACTAAACTAATAATATAAAACTAATGTAAATGAACAGTCCTGCAGTAAATACCAACTTTGTGAAGGTTATGGTGTTAAAGTAATTTTATTCAAACATCTTGATTCAGCTGTTATTGATTAATAGAAGACAGAAAATGAGATCTTGTACCTTTGTGATACTTTGAATGCAACATTCAGTTCATGAAGTCATTCTCCTCTGGTTTACCTGGAAAACATTTAAAAATTGAATCATCTCCACAATCACGTTTTTCTTTAATGATAATGTCACAATTTATGCTGCAGTCTTTGACAAATGATCTATAACTTTAACTAAATGACGTCAGTCTTGTTGTCATGTTGTCATCATTCTTTGTTAAATCAGGTCTCTCTTGTAAATGAGTCCTCGAGGCTCAATGGGATTTACTGTAGAAATAAAGCTTGAATGAATCTCTCAGAACAAAAAGGTCAAATATTTTCTAGTTGAGTTCAGTAACTGGAATTACCATAAATTAAAAAAGACCACCTTTGAAAATTTAAGCAGTAATAGATATTTTAAAACGCTGAATTAGAAATAGACCCGTTTAAACCGTCATGTTGCAGAGCAGCTGCAGTTAAAACACAACTAGTAATTTAACACGTTTCATTAACTAAAACTGGAGACATGAAGTATTAATGTTGATAATTTGTGGTACAGAACAGTCAGATAAAGCTTCACAATGGAGAAAAAGTGTTGTATTTGCATTAACTTACCGGAAAAACACGGAGAATGAACTACGTTCAATGCTGAACCGCTGCTGTTTGGAACTATTTGCTGCTGCATGACCCACGTGACTTCCGCATTCCATTCTTTCTATGGGAGTCTGTGGGAGTGTCGCAACTCTCTCTTTACAGGGCTCTGGTTACCACTAAATATCTTTTTTTTACACAACTCGAAAGGAAACAAGAAAAGTACAAAAAATAGTTTGGTCTATTTTCTGTTCACACTCCAGCTCAGTAGGTGGCGGTAGAGCCCTGTAAAGAGACAGGGCGCTGGGTGGCGGTACTTCACCTTTGAGCAAAAAACAAACAACAAACTCCACCACAGAAGAAGAAAAACAAAGATGGTGTACTGTTGTGCCGCGCAGACACGGTCGTTTTATTTAGAATAACGGATAAACATATAGAAGCTGAGGCCAAGCTGTGGTTGTGGAACAATCAGAACTCCTTCAGTGATTCTTCGCTGGTTCGGTTCGTGTGTTTGGTCGAACAAAGCTCGATTTCTCTCCGTTTCGCCGCAGTAACGGCAGCTCTGGTCCCGCAGCTCTGGTCCCGCAGCTCTGGTCCCGCAGCTCTGGTCCCGCAGCTCTGGTCCCGCAGCTCTGGTCCCGCAGCTCTGGTCCCGCAGCATGTTTTGTCCCACGGTTCAGGCCAAACTGCGTGTGCTGCTGTAAAGTTTTCTCCGCTTCAGTCTGACAAATGTCGACTCATCAAAGTATGGATGATTCAAAGCCTCGATACAGCAAAAGACTGGTAAGTGTTGTCTCATTCATGTGTAAGGTTGGCTCATAGAAAATGACACAATGTGGAAAGTTAAATGGACTGTACCTATACAGCTCCTTTCTGTCTGATCCAGATACTCAAAGCTCTTTACAACAATCTGTGCCTCATTGACCCGTTCATACAGCACTCTACTAGATCTATACAAAGATAATTGAACAAATCATTCTAAAGAGAATAATCAGAGCTTTATCACATTCATACACTGATGGAACACACATCAGAGGCTACGAGGGGTTCAGTGTCTTGCCCAGAGACACTTAGGCATGTGACTGCTGGTGGATTCGAACCCCCAACTCTTGCATTGGAGGACGACTGCTCTAACCACTCGCCCTAGTTGAGGTTTTAATGTAACTAACTTTTTACTGGAATTAATTTCTTCCAACAGTCAAATCAAATAAACTTGAACCCAGTGTATGTTAGCCAAATGTTCAGATGAGCTCTGTTAAAATCATCCACCTCCTGTTAGGGGCTCAGGTCTCGGGGGCAGCATCTCGAGCAGGGAGGTCCAGACATCTCTTTCCACAGCCTCTTCCAGCTCTTCTGGGGGAACGCCAAGGTGTTCCCAGGCCAACAGAGAGTGTCCCGGGGTCTCCTCTCAGTCGGACATGCCCGAAGCACCTCCCTTGGGAGACGCCCAGGGAGCATCCTTACTAGATGCCCGAACCACCTCAAGTGGCTCCTCTGGATGTGGAGGAGCAGTGGTTCTACTCTGAGTCTCTCCTGATAACTGAACTCCTCACCCTGTCTCTGAGGGAGAGTCCAGCTGTGCAGAGGAAACTCATTTCAGCCTCCTGGATCCACGATCTTGTTCTTTCAGTCTCTACCCAGAGCTCGTGACCAGCGGTGAGGGGAGGAACGTAGACCGACCAGTAAACAGAGAGCTTTGCCTTATAACTCAGCTCTCTCTTCACCACAACGGACCGGTACAGAGTCCACAATACTGCAGATGCTGCACCGATCCATTTTTCCATCTCTCGCTCCATTCTTCCCTCACTCGTGAACAAAACCCTGCGATACTTGAACTCCTCGAGGCAGAACCTCACCCTCGACCTGAAGAGAACAATCCACCCTTTTTCGGTTGAGGACGACGGCCTCAGATTTGGAGGTGCTGGTTCTCATCCCAGCTGCTTCACACTCGGCTGCGAACCGCTCCAGTTAAAATCTGTAGTTTTAAAGTCGTTTAAAAATGATGCTAAGGTCAAGTATGTTTTTTAAAAAAATCACAAAGTTACATTGTTTAAATATTCTGAACTTTGGTATAGTGTCCTGTATTTCATTTAAACTAATTGGGGAGTGGTGGCGCAGAGGTTAAAGATGGTGAGCCTGTGGCTGGAGGTCGCCGGTTCGCCCCCCTGGACCGTTATTATCAAAAATGTGGGTGGGAAAGGTGCAACACCCACACCTGCCCTCCACCTTCATTTGCCCCACTCTGGGCCCTTGAGCAAGGCCCTTAACCCCCACCACCTGCTCCCCCGGGCCCCTCCATGGCAGCTCTGCTCCACACAGAGGCTGTGGCAGCGTCTGAAGGACATCCGGCACAAAAACAATTGACAAGTCTTCGTGGGAATTAGTTGGTTCACTGTGGCGATCCCTGAGGACCGAGTCACCGAAGGGAGAATTTCATTTAAACAAATTCTGTCATTTTTCACCAAAACTGTTCTTTGATGAATGTTCAGAAAGAGCTCCTTCACAGGTGAGAATAATATTCATCATTTGAGTTTTCAAACTAGAAACAAGTCCATTCACCTGAAGGACTGCGTTCCATCGTCATTTTGTCGTGTCAGCATTTTGCTGGTGAGCAACAGTTGATAAATGACATCGGTTGATTTTCAGAGCGTACGAACAGTTTGTCAGCGTGTTTGTCTTTTCTAACTCTCGGTACTTTTACTATTTCTGATCCAACGCAGATTCCCGTTATTCCAACTGACGAGCCAAGAAAAAGAGATTTTGTTTGAAAAAATTGGAACCAAGTCCGTGACCCAGCGCTGAGAGGAGCAGACCTGTTACAAACCATTTCTCAGCGTGTAAACTCTGTTTGTGGGTTTAGGTTCCCAGCTGAGGGCCTTTCACATGAATGTTATCTGTGGTGTGTTCAGTTTGGTCAAGCTGAAGCCGATTTGATTCTTGCCACCACTTCCCTTTACTCATCTTGTGTTGGACCCTGGTCACTCTTCATTCACTTAAACGCCGTGTGTTCAGTCTCGTTAGTCACTTTTTTCCAGTCTAAAGTTTGAAGCGGGTTCTGCTTCTGTCTTTGAAACATTTCTTCATGCTTTGTGTTTCCTCGCCACAGCGGGCTGGAACCAGACGGCGTTACCATGACGATGGCATCTCGGATGAAGAGATTGATGGGAAAAGACTGTTTGATCTGGAGGAGAAAATCAGCAGTGAGAGGTTTGGTTCTGATCGGGTGGTCCGCATGGAAGGAAAAGGTAGGTGAACCTGGTGGGCCCTCACAACCTGCACTGAAATGCCTAAAGTCTTTTTTTCTTAAATAAAATGACAGAAAACTCCAAACAACTCTTTACATTCCAACAATGTTCAGTCTGTGGGTTTTGTACCTGGATTGTGGAGCAGGAACGTTGGTGAACTCATCACAGTGACACATTGTTTCACATGATGCATCATTCACTACCAGAAGTTTACCGCACCATTTGTAATAAACGAGCAAAATCTGCTGAGTCATCGTTTGTTGAGCCCGACCGTTATAGAAATTTTGACTATTGCCGATTCCACTATAGGGTGGGAGAGGCAGCTGCCGATAACCGATATAATGGCTGAAATAAATTTGTTTCTTTGTCCACCCCCAAGACTCTAAGAAAGCAGCGAGTGGGGCGGGGCTTGTTAATTTAGCACAGCTGTTAGCATCCATGAAGCTAAGCTAATCAGATCCACGCAATACATAGTCCAATATACAAATACAACGACAATTAAGAAACTCTGATATTTTACCTCTACGTTAGATTTATTGTTCTGGATAAAGTTTTACAAGGTAACAGCTTATGCTAGGTTATCTAAACATTAACGTGCTATCTTGAGAGGTACATATATATCTTTTTAATTTCCGAGAGGCACGTAGCTAATGACAAGCAGGTTGGAGGATTGAAGATAATTTATTATTGTTGATTTGTTTTTACAGATCAGTTAAAATAAACTTACCATACTCTGTTCAGTGTTGCTCGCTGCTTCGGCTGTGATGAAAGTGTAAGTGAAGTGAACGGCCGTGACTTGAAAGTTGTCTTCATGCGCCCTCTGCTGGATACATTGTACAATTACAGCTGCTTCCCAGCATTTAAGGCGGTAGTGTCCAGTCCTGGTCCTGAGGGCCTCTAACCTGAAGGTTTTACGTGTGTCCCTGCTCCAACACACCTGATTCAGTGGTTAATTACCCTCATGTTCTTCAGAAGCCTGTTAATAATCTACTGATGCAAATCAAGTGTGCTGGAGCCCAGAGGAACGTCTAAAACCTGCAGGACAGTGACCCTTGAGGACCAGGATTGGACACTCCTGATTCAAGGGGTGAAGATTAGAAGCGCTTATGTCTGCGAATAATGGGACAGTTATCACCTCTATTGAAAAACCCCCAATCGTCTGTATCAGCCTAAATTATCGGGCGTACCTACCTATTGTCCAGGCTGTAGTTTTAACATTCTAACATTGATGAGAACATGTCAGACTGTTCTGGTGCACAACGGGTATTGGGTTGGCTAAATAATCCCCGACTGTAATCAGAGAGAGGACAATCGAGTCAGAGATGCCAGGTCAAAAGCAAAACGGTGAAAGCTGTAAGGACAACAGTTGACACAAGTGGAGTGATTCTGGGAGAGTGTTGAGCAACAGTTCGAGCTAAGATCACATGAAATGAGCTGTGTCGACATATTTCACATTTAACGAGAGGATTTCCATTTCTAACGTAACTGACCACCAAATTCAGTCGTCAACAAAAGGCAATAAATATTTTTAATGCACTTTTACAAAAAACATTACATTAACCCCCAAACACTTATTTAATGATGTAGAAAATGTTATTTGCATAAAACTGTTAATCACAAACATTGAAAATTGCATATTTTTGATGTTTGTTCTGGTTTTAAGAATTAAATTATTTGGTGTTGATCCAGATATTGTTTAAGTTATTTAAGCATCAGTAATGTGTTCAACTGGTCAAACATAAAAGTGCTTAATTCTCCTTAAGTATGTTTTCCCACAGATTTAAAAATCTCAGCACATTTAGTTACGATTTTGTTTTTCAGACTTTACCTACGAGTTCATCCAGCGAGGCGGTCTGAGAGATCCAATCATTTTTGAGAAACCTGATGGACTTGGAGTCAAGTAAGCATTTTTTTTTTTGTGTGTCTTCATTTTTATTAGTTTTGTTAACTTGGTGTAGGGCTGGGTGATATTATCAAGATAGTTTTTTTTGCGTTATAAGTTGAGACTATCTCGATATGAACTGAAAATCCTCCTGCTGCCTTCTTTCTCCCACTCACCCCCCTCCTCCTCCCTCACTGAACACAAACCCAACCACCTCCTCCTCCCTGCTTCTGCAGGAGGTGGGTGGAGACGTTTAGCACAAATGAACAGGGCAGATGAGAAGAGCAGAGAGGCGGCAACATTCATAAATCTGCAGTTTATCACTAAAGACACGGTCCTTAGCGGCTAACAGGATGGCTAACGCTTTAGCCGTCTTGTTCCACAGCCGAGACCGTCTTTAGTGATAAACTGCAGATTTGTGACTGTTGCCGCCTCTCTGCTCTCCTCATGAAGCACAGCTAAATGAGCTCTGACCCGTGGTTTGTTTTAAGGAAGCAGGAGGATGTAAGAACTGTCGCAGCTTCACGGTTCTGAGTGGAGGCTCGCTTCCCTGCACTTCACACAGGCTTACTAACGTGAAGGCGCCTTTCTGTCTGATCAAGACGCTCAAAGCTCCTCACAACAATCTGTGCCTCATTTACACATCCACACAGCTCTATACTAGATCTGTACAAGGATTAATCAGAGCTTCATCACGTTCATACACTGATGGGACACATCGGAGACGGTGATGGGTTCAGCGTCTCACTCAGGGACACTTCAGCATGTGACTGCTGGTGGAATCGAACCCCCAACTCTCCCATTGGAGGACGACTGCTCTAACCACTCAGCCACAGCCGCCCTCAGCTGAAGAGGATTATTATTTAATAAATGTAAATAAATGTCTAAAAAATAATGTATGTAAATAGTTTATTTTTATACATTTATTTTGTAGTTACAGCTGTTGTTAATAAATGTGCCTGTGTGACAACTGGGACAAAGCTTTGACTCAGAAATATATTTTTGTTACTTTATGGAAAGAAAAAAATATCGAGATTTATCATAAAAATATGGAGGTATTAATTTAGGTCCCTGTCGCCCAGCCCTAACTTGGTGTTGGTTTGTTCAGACATCTCCGCTGACCTGGACTGATGTATGACTGAACCGTTTGTCTTCTAACACTGTGTGGTTCTGCAGGGTGCCCGATCCAGAAATCAGCGTCAGTGATGTCAAGATGCTTGTTGGTAAGAGTGTTGTGCTTTCAACATCCAGTTAATTAAAACTCATGGTAGAAATGTGACATTTACAGAGAGAGCCTTGCAGAAACCTTGATGTTCTATCTGTGTTGATGCCTTACAACATGGAATTTATCAGGATTTTTAATATGATTAGAAGCAACAATTTATGTGTTTAGTTAAAAGAGGTGGGACACAATCTTATTGATCTTAAGTCAGACACAAAGTCTTAAAGTCCTCCATCACTTTGGTTCATTACAGAGAAAATCATAAAAGTGAAGATGAACAAATATAAATCTGTGACCTCCATTCACCTGAAATCCTCCCTGATGTTCTCGTCACTGTTTTCAATCTTCTGAGGATCCAGCGTCTCTCCTCCGGTGGTTTATTGTCGTCCAGACACAAAGTAGGACGCAGGTTTTCCTCCGTCGGCCGTTTGTCAACAAGTGAAATGAGGTCACATGCAGAGTTTGGGTGAAGCTGTGCTTCGTGGAAGAGTAGCAGGGAAAAGAAACTGACTGAAAGGAACACCATCTGAGAACACCATCGCTACAGTAAAGCATGGTGGTGGCAGCATCGTGCTGTGGGGATGTTTTTTATCTGCAGATATTTGGAAACTGGTCAAATCAAAATCAATTGAGAAAAATACAAAGAAATTCTTGTCAGGAACTTGGAGTCTTCCAGAGATTTGAGACAGATGGAGGTCCTCCTTTTAGCAGGACCACGACCTTAAACACCGTGCTGAAGCAACGCTCCACTGGTTTAAGGAGAACCCGTTAAAGGTTCTGTACTGGTCCAGTCAAAGCCCAGACTTCAATCCAATTTGTAATCTCTGATTTCGTGCAAACATTGAAGCAGCAGCACCTGAAGGAGCCGCAGCGTACGGTCATGAAGGTTCGACTAAAGGTCCAGGTTAGAGCAGCCAACATCACAGAGAGGGACACGAAGACACGACGCTAGAATGGCGTCAAAAGATGGGACACAAAGTATTGAGTTTTAGAGCTAATTCCATCTGCAGCCACCAGTTTTCATTTTTATATCGCTCTATAGTTTTTTCACATTTAACTTCATTAATCTGAAGTATTATTACAGAATTATTGTTTTAATTCAAATTAGAAATCAGAATGCAATCCAGGTTGGCAGGAAACCAAATGGAAAGAATATCAAGAAAGATGAATGATTTAGCAACTTTATATTTGGAGACATTTAACTGATCCCAGTTACTAAACTGAACCAAGACTAAACTGTTGCTTGAAGCGGACTTCTCTGACATTATTTTTATTATTATTATTGTTGTTGTTATTATGATGTCACTTACATTATCCTTTTCCCCATTTAGGTAGCAGGCGCATGTTAGATGTGATGGACGTGAGCACTCAGAAGGGGACAGAGATGTCCATGGCCCAGTGGGCACGCTACTATGAGACCCCTCCGTCTCAGAGAGAGAGGCTCTATAACGTCATCAGTCTGGAGTTTAGCCACACCAAGCTGGAGGCCTTAGTTAGCAGGCCTGCCACAGTACGTGCACTATTTTGTGAAGATGCACGTTTAGTAAACTGTACTTAAAAATCAATCAAATTATTATTGTTTTCCTGTTGTAATCTGTGTCTCTTTGTTTTGTTTGTGAGTGTAGGTGGATCAAATTGACTGGGTGGACAACATGTGGCCTCGACACCTGAAGGAGAGTCAAAGAGACTCAACCAATTCCATTAATGACATGCAGTACCCCAAAGTACAGAAGTAAGTTGGCACCTCCTTGTCCCATCAGATGTCAGCAGAATCAGTTTAACACCACAGTTTGTGACGTCTTCCCACAGGTACTGCTTGATGAGCGTCCAGGGCTGCTACACAGACTTTCATATTGACTTTGGTGGCACCTCGGTGTGGTATCACATTCTCAGAGGAAGCAAGGTGGGACTGAACAAGTTAACAGTTGTAGCTTCATAAGTCTAGGACCTCTTCAAATATGGACTGTACTTATACAGCGCCTTTCTATCTTATCGAGATACTCAAAGCTCTTTACAACAATCTGTGTCCTCATTGACCCATTCATACAGCTCTATACTAGATCTCTACAAAGCTAATTGAACAAATCATTCTAAAGAGACTAATCAGAGCTTTATCACATTCATGCACTGATGGACACACATCAGAGGCAACGAGGGGTTCAGTGTCTTACCCAGGGACACTTCAGCATGTAACTGCTGGTGGATTCGAACCTCCAACTCTTGCATTGGAGGACGACTGCTCTAACCACTCAGCCACAGCCGTTCCAAGTTAATTGAACTTCCACAATAACAAACCAAGATATCCTGCTCAACTAGAGCTAAAAGCCAGCAACAATAAATATTGTGGCTTTTCCACAGATTGGGGACGACCCTTGAAAATCCTGTTACCCAGGAATTTGAGCATTTTGTTTAAATTGACTGATTCGTGGATCTTATAGCTGTAGTTGGAGTATAAAGGTGTAGAACTTTAGATGGGTAAGATGGTGCCATGTCTTTAACACTGGGCTGTGAGATGTTAGAAAAACTTGAGATGTGCCACAATATTGTTTTATTAAAGCTGTGAGCAGCTCAGAACATTCCTCCCATATTGGTGACGTTCTGAAATAAATGCCACCATACCTACAGATAAAACATCCCTAAACTTGTAAGAGGGGCTTGTTGAAATGGAAGGACAGAGCAACAGATGACTTTAAATAAAGAGTAAAATTATACATGGACAAAATCCAGGAATAAAATGCTAAATGGACCATACTTAAAGAGCAGCTTTTTATCTAATCAAGATACTCAAAGCTCTTTACACTAGAATCTGTGCCCTCATTTACCTCTAACACGCATTCATACAACACTCTACTACACACATTCATACAGCACTCTACTACACACACATTCATACAACACTCTACTACACACACATTCATACAACACTCTACTACACACATTCATACAACACT